GTCTGATAATAATAATAAAGTCTATATTATTATAAAGCTTTGATGAAATAATTTTTATTAAATGTTCGATTAATATAATAAAAAAAATCAATTAACTTTATTTTTCTAGGCATTACTTCTTACTTTTTTAATTATTACTAAACGATTGATTACAATTATTATGTTTGATAATATTTATTAAATATTGTACCAATATGCTAAATAAAATATATTTGGTATAATCATCAAATCTTTTTTTAATAATATTGAGAAATCTATGCTATTTATTTGTGTAGAAGAGGAAAAAAAATAAAAATCATCGTGTTTTTTTTATATCAAGATATTGATGTTTGTAAGCTTATGGAATATAAATTTAGAAAATGGAACCAATTTCTTTTAATTTATGTGCTTTCCACAAAATGTCATTATCGCATAACTGCATTAAAGGATGAATTGAAAGAATCGTGATCTGTTGGGCTTCTAATAATGTTGTGAATGAAAGATATACGATCGTTAAACAAAAAAAAAGTGATTTATTCAAATCAATTACTTTTTTGTTCAGATATGTAGAATTGGACAAAATATATACTAATCAATGATCGTCTGTTTTTTTGCATATCATTGCCCACCAAGTTCTTCTTTGTGTGTGTTTCTATATTTTTTTAAATTAAGTTCTTTATTCTTCTGCACATGATCATGTTATGCAATATAAAATGATGATGGACTCCCATAATCTTGACGCTGATACTTTTTGCTTAACCTTGAGACATGTCTAAAAATATAACACTTAACAATGCTTGATTGTATAACGTGCATTATTTCAAAATTAAAAATATAATCTCCTTGTTATCAATCAATCCAATTGATAATTAAATAATAAATAAATAATTGAAGAACTCTTGATAAGTTAAAATAATAAAATAATGGGACAAATGAGAATCAAACATTGTAGTTAGTGCATATAAACTAAGAATTATAATATAATATTATTATATTAAATTATCCAAGCAGAATAATAAATCATTATGATATCAAAATAATGTCAAAATGATCATTAAAAGTTATTTTTTCAATCATTTCCGATTTATTTTATTGTATTTTGATGTTATCGTGACTTGTTGTTCTGCTTGAGTATATACATTACAAATATATATGTTACAAATAAGAATCCGTTTTGGGTTCATTTTCGAGCTGTTCTTAATGAAAATCATACTAATAGTTACATTGTTCGATACTATATACATTCACATGAATTCCAATGAAAACTAAGAGATATTATACAAAAAAGTAAAATATACAAAACATTCGAATTCCTCTTTGTAATCTGTAATTGAAATTAATGATAACACTATACTGTGAATTTTAGTTTATGCACACTATTGTAACTACAACATGTGATTCTTACTTTATTGATACCTATTGTTAATACTTATTGTTTGATTTAAACAATAGAAATATTAATATCTAATTACAAATATTTTTCTAAACTGTTATATGTTATCCCATACAGCACAGAATTTGTGGCGATATCGCTGCAAAATCTCTGCGATATTGCTGTAACATGCGATGTTGCAGCAATATTATTGCAACTTTGTGTTGTAGAAGATTGTTTCATTTCAAAGAAACTGGAAACAAGAGAAAAGGTTATTGAGCTTTCCTCGTCGCAAGTTATTAATTTACGGAAAGCACAAGCTGCTCTATTCTTTTTAGAATGACGCTGCCTTTTGAAACTTAATATTTCAAAAATGATTGATAATAATAATAATATCGGTCAACTTCTAATGTCAGCCGTCCCATTATAATCATATTTCGCTGCAAATTAAAGCGGATTCGGGATGTTTAAAATAGGCTAAAGGGTCTAAAATTAGGCTAAAAATAAAGAATGCCGCTGGCGACTCAAAGCAATTAGGAGCTTTATGCCCTTATAGTCAGACCTTATACTTAAGGCTTCCTTAAATTTATTAAATTCTTTAAAATGCTCAGTAGTTGAAAATTCGTAGAGTATCTAAAGATAAATTTAAGGAAGCCTTAAATATAAGGCCTGATTATGAATATGAGTATTAGGTCCTGCGCACAATAGAAGGAATAAAGAATAACCGATTTCAACTTATCAGAAATCGTATTCCAATGTATCCGCTTTCTAATAGGTTAAAATCGTTTATTCTTTATTCCTAATTTCTTATTACTTCTATTATGCGCAGAGCTTTAGAAATCAGAGTGTATATCTACCTTTATTAATGTCGATTTTGGCATCCGCGAGAGCTAGGCAATGCACGTTGCGGAGAACGTTTTGCATTGTATTCGGCTTAGGCGCAAAGTCAGGATCATCCGCATCAAAGGATACGCTTTCCTCAAATTCCGTTAACGTTGTCGCCTCTGTCACACTTCGTCGATGCATCGTGAGAACGAAGAACACGATGCGAAAACCTCGAGCTGTCTAAAACATTGTGGGCAAGTAAGACGTAAAAATATCATCATACTTACGGAATTGTAAAGTTCAAAATCGTTATGCTGTATTTTCATTATGACACGGAGGATTACATAAAATGTTATGTGCACACTTTTTATCGTGTATAATTCTAATTATTCGAGTACTCAAAGTTGGATACAAATTTACTGAAAAAAGTCTGGTAATAAGTAACTACCAGACATATCTTATTTAGCATATTGGTGCAATATTTAGTAAATATTATCAAACATAATTATAATTAGCCATATAGTAATAATTAGAAAAGTAAGATAATATCCACAGAACAACAAATTGACATTAACATTATATCAATGTTATAATTTTCTACTCAACAATGTAACTATTACATACAACTTATTATATTACATGTTATATTATGTACAACTATTACGTACAACATGTTATATTATATTTATATTGTTAAATAGAAAATTATAATATTAAAAATTATAAAATTATAATATACCTGTTAGTTTGTACTTTGCAGAATATTTAAAAAATTAAAATTAGAATTTAATCGTCTATACAGCACAAATGATTCCAGTAATATTGCAGCAACATTACAGCGTTCTAATAATATGTTGAAGTAATGATGCTACAAACTTCTATGCTGTACAATTTATATTAATCAAATATTTGTCGGTAAAAAATTTGTTATGCATTAATATGTATAAATATGTGAAAACATACATAAATATGTATAAACATGCATAAATATTTATAAACACGTATAATCGTGTGTCCATACATATTCATACATTCCTTTTTCTTTTGTAAAATTATTTTTTAGTGTAATAGAAATAACAATAGTAATGTGAAAACATAAAAAATAATTAAAAGAATAATTGTTCGTTAGAGAAAAACAAGTTTGGAGAAATATTTTTAAAAAATGCTCATACATAATTATGCATAATTTTATATGCACATAAGTAATTTTTTTACTTCTACAAACTTGATTTTTTCCTAAAATAAGTAATATAAAAATTATGCTTTTAATTATTTTTAATGTTTTCACATTGCTTGTTTGTAATTTTGTAATTTTATTACATTAAAAATTAATTTTATAAAAGAAAAAAAGATGTATGAATATATATGAACATATTTTATATAAAATTATATATGTTTATAAATATTTATGTATGTTTATACATATTTGTACATATTCATGGATGAAAAATTTTTTACCGGGATTTGCAATTATTTTACTAAAGCTTTAGTAATTATTTTATTTAAGTTTGATTATTACCAGACTTTTTTTCAATATGCATTTTGCATCATCCATCATAATTCAATTATTTTGACTCTTTCGCCAAGATCAAGCTAACAGTAAGCAAACTAAAGTTGGCGATATGTCGCGCGATTACAGGATTATGCAAATTGCGCAACGATAATAATTATTACCTGTAATCTGCAATGATAATGCGAAAGTATATCACATCGACAGTTCAACTCAACTTGTCGTCACCTTCGCGACATTCACTATCGGTTTCATGAAAGATTCGAAGAGCCGTTCTCTTTTCTTTTTCTCCTTCTTTTTCGTCTGCACACGACGACAAGCAGCGGTCGACTGACACCTGATGTACGTTATCGCACGGAAAAATCATCATGAATGGCCTCGCTGACAAATGGCGCGCGGCCAACTTCAAGACGATGTCACAAAGACATGAAGTTCAGTCGCTTTTCATTTTTCTTTCAAGAATTTGCGATTTGCAAGATCGATAAGAGCAACTTATTTTTAAATCTATCTTTTTTAAACTCTTTTTAAGTCACACACTATGTTTTGGTAACAGAAAGATTATTATGATAGCTTTGTACGTGACTTTATAATGCATATTGCGAGGGAGTAATCACTTAATGTAATCGTGGGACCGAGTCCTCGAAGTCATTATAAAATTTATATGAAATCTCTATGTATAATCCGATAATTATATATATTATGTAACCATAAGAAATCATTGTATAATATTAAATAAAATCGTATATTTTATCAAATGACTTCATATGTAGTGAACAAAATTATTTGTAATTAAATGAAACCATATCATGTAATTAATCTGTGGGACAATATTTCAGCTAGTGATTGGCATATTGTTGTATTGTTAATGTTGTCACTTATAATTGGCACACTCTGAGATTAATGCGTGCGCTAATGCGTATTTTAATTTTGCGAAATTTTCATAAGGAATTGCAATATATCAGGCTATGGGTGAAAGAAAATAATACAAATGTGTATGTAATGCAGAAGAGTTTGTTTAATCATTTCGGAATATACACTGCATTGCAGACATACTCTGAGACGCTACTGTTTTGTGCGATTTTTTTACTTTTTGAAAAATATGAGTTTTTCAGAGACACTGTAGTATGTCAGAATGTGAGTGGTGAGAAAGCAATACGTATCATGTAATACAAATGTAATACAAATGATTCATTTAATAAAATAATTCCAGAATGTATATTATATATTTATATGCTAAACTGAACTACAATTTATAGAGGCTGCGTTCTATTTAATGATGCTCACAACGCGAGTATCATTTGCTTGTTTAACATTTGATAAATGACAAGAATGAAATGATTTCACGAGCGTTGTGAGCGTTAAATGGAACGCAGCCAGTCATTCGGTTAAAAAAGAAAACAGGAAACTAAGATCTTATCTTACAAGCCTGTAAAAAATCTAACAAACAGAATAAGAAAAACAGCCAACTTTGCTTCGTATATATATATATAT